CCTCTTCAATTTGTTGGGGATGAGAAGTTGCTGTTTGGCCCAGGCCCTGGTTCTTTGGCACTGTGCTACATTTTCTGTGCTTCATAGTCAATCTCAGTATTGGAATACCAGGAAGAATAGCTGTTTAAAACAATTATGTCACTTTTGGCTACAAAGTGTTACCATCCGCAATGACAATAGCATCAAAAGGACTTTTTTCTTTTCTTTTTTTTTTGTTGCCATGCCAGGAATTGAACTCAGGACCCTGTGCTTGTCAGGCAGGAACTTACTCTACTGAGCTATCTCCTGGCTCAAAACCTTATTTATTTATTTTATTTTTAGTGGAACCAGGGTTTGAACTTAGGCCCTTGCATTTGCCAGAGAGGTGCTTATTCTATTGAGCCATCTCCCCAGCCCAACAATAGCATCAAACACAGCCTAGAGAATGACAAACTGAGTTAACCATTCATGTGCCACCTTTAACCATATGAACTATGTGGTTATATAACAAAATCTAAAACAAACTACAAGATTATATGCTGTATATAAGTCCTTAATATGCCAATTTTTCCCTCAGGGATTAAAATTTGAAATGGGTTAGGGAGGAATAAATATGGAAGAAGCAAAAGGGATTAGAAGTAAGGCTGAAGGACAAAAGAGAATCACGCTAACTTTGGGATACTGGTGCAGAAGACTGGAGGGAAAGAGAAAAGGAAGAGATAAAAAGAACAACAGAACAGAGCCACAACCATAAAAAGAATTCTATCAGGAAGAGAAACTCATGAGATTGGTCAGGAGCTGTGTGGAGCAACCTTAGGTGTAAGCTGAGAGCAAGTGAATGTGACAATGACTGCATCAGACACAGGATATTTGTGGTCCAGAGTGGCCACATGATTAGTTCTGCTGAGCAAATTACCAAAGCAGAATCAATAAAAGATTTCTCCAATATTTGATACACTGATGCTGTTTATGGGAACCAGAGGTATGATATAGCTGGAGCCTTTTTATGGTCAACTTTGCTGGCTTCTGGGAAGAAACTACCAGAATGAATTAACTAGTTGGGATATACTGGAGTGTTACTCAAGTGGGAGCTATGGGCAGGACACAGGAACCTGGGGAAGGAAGGCAGCTATGCTCACCACTATACCACCAATGCTAGCAGAAGGAGTAAGAAGCCCTACAGAGGTGAAGGCAAAATGCTATTTCTAAATGAGTTAAAGGTTAGCCTGAACTGCAGAGCGAAACCCTGTTTCAACAACAAAAAAAGGAACAAACCAAAATTAAGGGAAGAGCCAGGGAGATGGCTCAGTGAAATAAGAACTTCCCTGGCAAGAACAAGGGCCTGAGTTCAATCCCTGGTTCTGCCAACAAACAAACAAACAAACAAACACTAAGAGAGCTGGACTTAGTGAAAAGTGAGACAGACTCAGACTATATAATTAGAAGTGGTCATTTAGGGGTCAGCGAGATAGTTCAGGGGACTAAAGTACCTGCGTAGGCAAGCACAGGGACGGCTGTTGAATCCCTGGCACCACATGCCTCACCAGCCCCGACCCCAGGCCGGGCTGAGCCCAACAGAGTCCTGAGGGCATAGTCTCACATGCCTGTAATCCCAGAGCTGTGTAGTGAAACCCTGTACCAAATACATTTAAAAACTATAAATAACTGCAAGTCTAAGGAATAAAAAATTTGTATTTTGGTAACTGATAAAGTGTTTTGGGTTTTCTGGGGGGTTTTGGTGGCTCAGGCTGCCTGAAGGGCAGTTCTACTAAGTCAGGTGGGGCTGGGGATTGAACTGTGGTATCCTGCTCCTGACTGCGTTTGCATGAGCAGGCGCTTAAGCAACTGAGCTAAGGGCAGGCTCCCAGATTAAGTGTTTTTATACAATGAAAAGCTCTAATAAAATACACTTTTCAGTGGGAAAAATACTAGACAAGTGGATCTACAAAGTAAACTTTAGGGCTGGTGAGATGGCTCAGTGGTCTAAAGCACCTACTTAGAACAAGCTACGCTAAGCAAAGCACAGGGACCGCGGTTCAATCCTCCAGCGCCACATGCCAGCTAGCCCTGCCCCCTGGTGGACTGAGCTAGCCACACACACACTAAATAAAAATAAATAAAAATTAAAAAAAAAAAAAAGTAAACATTAACCTTGATAGATTTCAGTTTAGGACAGTCCACTAGCAAGCATATTATCCCCCCAGCTGTTCAACTTCTGAGCTTAGAATTTTAAAATCTCTTTTAAGATTTTATTATGTTGAGATTTGTTTTCATTCCACATCCTCTTCAGCCAAGCTCTGAGCACTCATAATGCTTTGGCTAATGGCTGGAGCTTGGTGAGAAGCACCTGGAACGCCGGGGGTGGAACAGCTTGCTGTAACACCGCAGCGGCTGCTGTGGCTGCCCACATACAGCAACTGCATTTGTCAGACGGCCCACGCCCTTCTCATACTCACCTTGAGCCAGTAACTCTTCGCCAAGCTGTATTTCTTCAAGGAAAAATTTCTGAACAGCTTCAGCAACATTAAGGTCCGGTAACTTGGGAAGTCCAGCTCGCTCCTTGGCAAGCTTGTTTCTCTCTTCATCCTTTTTTTTCCCCATAATTTTATTGAGAAACAAATAGCCATGAGAGTTTCAAAGCAAATGGTAGGACAGTTTCAATAATTAACACATTGCATACATTCTTCCTAGTGGTTAATTGCTGTACAGCGCAGACATATCTTTCTTCATTCTTGAAGTTGGGATCACTTCACCTCTTGTTGTCAAAGCAAGTGCAGTACCTGCTGAAAAGGGCTCCAGCACACCCCCAAAGCAATGGCGCTGCTCCAACCCACCATCTCCTCTCAACTTCAATGTGCCAGCTGCGGTAGGCCCACATCAGAGTGGTTGGCCACAAACCTGAGAGCTCACCTGTTTTTCATAGTAGGTAGCTATAAAGTATTTCGCCTTAATTATCAAAGCCTTTTGGCTTAACTGATTGTAATGTTCACAGAAGATGCAGCTAACAAGCTAATATGGATCACTTATTTCACTGCCTCCTGAAAGTTCAAACTTCACTATTTCCACAGGCTATGCTTAAACAGGATTTATGAAATAGTTTATGGTGTATGGGTCATCAGGTCATTTCTCACTAAAGTACACACCATTTTTGTTTTTTGAGACAGAGCCACAGTACATAGTACAGGCTGGCCTTGAACTGACTACACAGCCCTGACTGGCCTAAAACTTACAGGGACCCTCTTGCCTCAGCCTCCAAAGTGCTGGGGTTACAGGTATGCACAGTGCCTCGCTGCACTGCCATGTTTCATCTTATATTGTTCATTTATCAAAAGACATTTTCATTTTATATTTCAGTAAATTCATTCATTGGTGGCTGAGTGTGAATATCAGGCTGATTCACACTTGGAGAGCTGAATATATTGTATACCTCATTTCCTTAGTACAGTAACTTGCAAGGAAAGAGCAACTTGGCTCACCCTGTTCACCTGAATCCAGCCTCCCTATGCACGCACAAAGGGTTCTCTCCTTCCTGTAAAGTACTCACGCGGTCTACTCACTTATTTTCCTGCCTCTGCTTCCCAGGCGCTGTGATTTCTGGCCTGTACCACCATGCTCTGCTTTTCTAACACAGAGAAAGGCAGAATCCTTTGTTATTTCTTTATTATTTACGCCACATATACCTGTTACGGATGTTTTGGAACCCTGAAGGGTAAAGTATCAGATACAGGGATCTGGGACCCACGAATTAGGCTTTCCAACTGTTTTACGCGAAGAACTCCTTTCTCAATGTTTACACATGCTTTTAAAGTTACAGCCAGGCTGGGGATGTAGCTCAGTGACAGAGTACTTGCCCAGCATGTGTGAAGCTCTTGGCTCTCAAGTTCTAGAGCCGCAAAAAACAAAAACTAAGCCAAACACATAAGGCGGTCCTTGTAGTCAACATCTTCAGGGCCGACGATCGCCTGCTGCACACCGACCCACCAGAGGGCGCTCATTCCCTGTCGTCTAGTCTACAGCAGCTCAGAAAATGCAAGTTAAATTTACACTCAGGAAAAGTCATTCACGTTTAACGCACAAATATTTGCTGAGAATCGACTGTGCTGCCAGTCGCGGAGCGAGGCTCGCAAGCCGCAGCCGTGAGTCGGGCACGGTCCTACTCCTACAGGCTCAGAGCACGGGAAACGCTGAAAAGCAGAGGGGGGACGAGAATTCCTAGGAGCTGGCGTTTGCGGTTTAAGGTCGGCTTCGGGTCTGAGCTGCCCGCGCAGTTCATTCGGAGATCTAGTGCCGGCCTGTTTGGCTCGGGGCAGTGGCCTCGGCCCTCACGGTGCCCGTCGCTGGAGCTGGGGACCTCGGCCTGGACGGCGCCGCTGGCTCGCGCCGCGAGACGCGGGACCCGGCCTCTCCCGGGGCCCATTGCGGTTGCGGGCACTTCCAGTCCCGCAAGCAGCGACGACCGCAGGCCCTGCCCCTTTCCGGTTTAAAACCCGCGGGCTTTTCCTGTTCCGGAGGCCTAGAGTTCTCTTACGGATTCTCGCGAGAGGCTCGAGGGCTCGCGAGAAGTTTGCTTCTCGTTCTTAAGTGAATGAGGGTGGCGCGCCCTTGCTCGCCTAGTCGGGACTCTATGTGGGGTAGTCGCGTCTGCACTGCTCCATGGCCCCTAAGGGCAAAACTTGGTTGTGATCTCCCGGCCGGGCCTCGGGGCAGAGCCTGGCAGTACCCACCCCTAGGGCCACGGGGCGGGGCGGCTGGTGCGGACTCCTGGGGTGCAGGCTCCCCGGCCCCGCCCGCGGTGCCACGGTGGCGCGGGGCGGGGGCCCTGCTTGGCACGCAGCCCTAACTTGCTGCCGGCCCGGACGGCCCTGCGCCCCACCCAGTTCGCTCCCGGCCGCCGCACCTGTCGGGCCGGGAGGCGGTTGGTTGCGCCCCTGGGACAAGCTGGGGGCGGCCTCGGGCTGTGGGGGACCCTGCCGTGCGGCAGTGCTGCGCAGCGGCGCAGACCGGGCGGCACCAGAGCGCCTCCTCCGCCCCTCCAGGCCGCGGCTGTGGTCGCGTGGGGACCGGACGGGGTGGGGCAGGGCCTGGCACCCGGCCACCGCCCCCACCGGCCCCGTCCGCACACTCTCTTCCCCCAATTCTGGTGTTCGGTTACGGCTCCTGTGCGCCAGCCCAGAAGGAAAGGGCCGGGGAGGGTCCCTGGAGGCTGCATAAATTGGCGGCCCAGAGCTGGGGGAAGGGGGAACGCGACGGCGGGGGACGGCAGCGGGCGGCAGCGGGCGGCAGCGGAGGTGCTCGGCCCGGCCCGTGGGGCCCTCTGCTCCTTCCCCCGCTCGTCGGCCCTTTCCTCGGTGAGTCCCTGGGTCCTGGGCGACACACAGGGCCACCCCATCCCGCCCAGTCCTTTTACAGCCTTTTAACTCCCGGAGCTGTCCGATTCCGTCCAGCTCTGTGTCCAGTAGCACCCGGGCTGGATAGCTTGAGAATGTGCGTGCGTGTGTGTGTGTGTGCAAGAGAGCGTGCCCGAGCCTTGGGGCTCTGCCCCTTTAGAACAGCGGATCCATTGCGGGTTCGCGTAGCTGGGGACCCCCTAGGGGGCTCCTAGGTAGCAGGGGCGGGGGCAGCGCTGGGTCTACTTTGGTGCTAGGAGCAGGGAAGCTGGTCCTTCTGCACAGATCTGGTTTCTGACCTCTCCGCCCTGGCTCCTCTCTGGCAGGGCGCGATGCCCACGGTGCATGCAGGGCTTGCAGCCACCCGTGCCGCCGCAGCCTCGGCGCTGCCCCTGCTGTTACTCCTGCCTGGGTTGTGGATGCTGCCCCCGGCCGGCGCCAGGCCACCCCCTGGCCCCGACCCCCTGAGGCTTGGCTGGCAGCGACTGCTGGCCGAGGGCGAGGCCTGCGCCCCCTGTCGGCCGGGAGAGTGCGCTGTGCCTCGGGGCTGCTTGGCTGGCCGGGTGCGGGACACCTGCGGCTGCTGCTGGGAGTGCGCCAACCTCGAGGGTCAGCTCTGCGATCTGGACCCCAGCGCCCACTTCTATGGGCGCTGCGGCGAGCAGCTGGAGTGCCGGCTGGACGCGGGCGACGCGCTGAGCCGCGGGGAGGTGCCGGAGCCGCGGTGCGCCTGCCGATCCCAGCGCCCGCTCTGCGGGTCCGATGGCCGCACCTACGCCCAGATCTGCCGCCTGCGCGAGGCGGCTCGAGCTCGGCCTGATGCCAACCTCACTGCGGCGCACCCGGGGCCCTGCGAGTCGGGTACGCACGGCCTGGGCCCCACCTTCCGGATAAGAGCTCCCGAACCCCTCCCTATGGCTAGCAGAGCAGGAGGTGGAGGGCAAGGTGGCCTAGTGTCCCTTGGGAGACCCGCACTCCTTCGGTTCCTCTGGAGCTGTCCATCACCCCCTGCTGGCACGGCCCTAGCTCGGTCTGCAGGTTCCGCGCAGAGCCACTGGATCTGGCCTACAGCTGGCTCAGAGCGGAAAGACCCCTCTGTTGTTGCTCCGACGCCCGAGCCCTGGCAGTGGGACTGGCTGCTGAGAGATCAGGTTTCATTTGGGCCGAATCCTAGCGCCCTCAGCTAACGCAGCCCCTCCTGCTTCTCTGTTGTGTTTGGGGGTTACTGAAAGGGGACGCTTCCACTCTCCCTGCCCTCATCCCCCAGGAACAGGGTCCTTTCAGCCTCCAGTTTTCTTTGGCAACTTCTAACGTTCACTTTCTGAGCCCCTCCTCAGGGACTGGCTTGGCTGGGGCTGCTATGGAAAACGAATGCGCCAGGGGGTCCCGGCAATGCCCTCCCCCTAGGCTTCCACCGCGCCTAGTTCCAGGTTCTTGGCTGTGCCTCTCAACCTCCCTCCGCCTGTCTGCCGGGGTGGAGGCGGAGGGCTCTCTGAGGGCCTTGGAGAACTGGGCTGGGTTAGAAACGGAGGAAGGAGAAGGAGGTGCTGATTACTGGCACGGCAGGAAAGGGGCCCCAGGAGGTAAAATGAGGACAGGAGGCAGTCAGGGACAGAGGTCTGTCCAGCTCAGGTGTGGCTCTGCGCGCTTGTTTGCGTGTACACGTGTGCATGTACACCCCTGCATCTTGTCTGTACCCTGTGTGTACCTGCATTTACATTTGTGTGTGTGTGTGCGCGCGCGCGTGCATGCACGTGCCATATTTACGGGTATGTATGCGCCTCTATACAGAATGTCTTCCCACAAGCATCTCCAGTCAGGCCTAAACCACCGTGTGGGGCTGAAAGCACTGTCCTATTCTCAGACCTCTACCCCTTCCCCAGAGCCCCAGATCCTGTCACAGCCCCGTGATGTTTGGAATGTGACAGGCCAGGATGTGATCTTCGGCTGTGAGGTGTTTGCCTATCCCATGGCCTCCATCGAGTGGAGGAAGGATGGCTTGGACATCCAGCTGCCAGGGGACGACCCCCACATCTCCGTGCAGGTAGGGGCAAGGACCGAAGCTTCCTGTGGGGTAGCCTAGGGCTCCCTAGATTTACTTTATGACTACATCTTGCTTCAGTTTAGGGGTGGACCCCAGAGGTTTGAGGTGACCAGCTGGCTGCAGATCCAGGCTGTGCGACCCAGTGATGAGGGAACCTACCGCTGTCTCGCCCGAAATGCCTTGGGTCAGGTTGAAGCCCCTGCCATGCTGACCGTGCTCACTCCAGGTAAGGGGGAGCCCTGAGCCATGGGAGCTGGGAGGAAGATGCAGGATGAGGAGCCCTTAGTGTGTAAGAGATGTGTGTGCAGGTGGGAGCACACAAGCGCAGCCATCCACGGGCTGTTCTCTCCTGTGCCCGTGGCTGTGCAGACCAGCTGAACTCTACAGGACTGCGCCCAGGGCATTCCCTGAGCCGAGAGCCTGAGGAGGAGACCGGGAGTGACGAGGGTGAAGATTACTACTAGGTCCAGAGCTCTGGCCTATGGGCTGGCCAGAGTGGCCACAGTGCTCATCCCTTCTCCTGAGAAGGCCTGGGAAAGACCTGAAGGGGCAAGCAGGGCCTCTTCCTGCGCTGTTTCCATGCTCCTAATAGGGTGAGCACGATGGTATAGGGAAGAGATGGGGTGCCATGGCAGGGAGGGGGGCAGAACGAGGGCGGGTGGGGTGCTGCAGGGCCTGTGAAGAGATGCCCTGGCTGAGATCTCCACTCCCGGCCAGTTGCCAGAAGCAGCCGCTGCCTGCGGTCCAGGCTGGACCTGGCCTCTGCTGGCTCACAGAGGTGCAGAGCGCAGGACGCCATCTTCAGCAGCCCTTCCTGCAGCCCTGCTCAGGCAGGCTGTGCCAACTGCCCTTCCCCACAATCCCCGTCCCTCCTGTTGTTTTCCTGCTACCCAGCTTCTGCAGGTCTCAGTTTACCCTTCCTCAAAACTCACCTTCGGGTTTTCCTTCTCCCCCAGGCATACCTGGCCTTACTGCCATCCTCTGAGCCCCCCTCCCACCTTTCTGTGAGAGAGCACAGCAGGGTGTAGCTTGGGTCAGTGCACCGGGGAAGGATCTGCTCCTACCTTATCCCACTGTGCAGTGGGCCTGACACAGTTAGCCACAGCAGGCACCAATAAACATGAGTAAACAAGTGCACAGCTGCAGACAGTTCTTGCAGGTGTGCAGGTGCACCCTGACCCCCTAAGGCCACCTCACAGGTGGCCTGCTCCCTGGAAAGGACCTATGGCACTCTCTAGGAGGAAGGTGTCCCAGGGTGCCCACACATGGGGCCGGCTGGTGGCCATGGAGTCCCAGGCCCCTGTTCCCTGTACTCTGTCTCCTCTGGGGCAGAGTGGGAAGCAAGTCTATGTGGGTGGCCTCACTAGGGAAGCCTAATGACTCTTCTGGTGGAGGGGAGAAGTAGGACACACCCTTCCCCACTCCCACGGGGCGAGGGCCTCCCATTTCCCCCAAACAGGTCTGATTCTGGGTCACCAACCCTATCCCCATATACACCTCACCTAGGAGGTGTGAAAGGCTGAAGGAGAGGGTGACAGCACTTCACAGTCATGTGGATGGCAAAAGCTGCCCACAGCCTGGGCTGCACCCGGGTGGCGCCACGGGGATGGGGCAGGGGGAGGGACTGCGGCTCAGAGTCTGAGTTCCATCCTCTGGAAACTGGGGAGAGGTCCGGAACCCTAACAGCGGGCTCGGCCACCCCCAGCCTGGCAGCATGCCCGGCCACAGAAGCTTCTGCTTGCCGACCTGGACTGGAGCCCGGTGGCCCCGGGAGCTTCACGTGACCCTGGCGGCGGCTTGCATACTTGGAGCGAATTGCAAGTCGACCTAGGGTGCAAGAACTGGGTTGGGGTTGGGGGTCTGCTCCGAAGTGGAGCCAGTAGGTTCGCTCTGCATGGCAAGTGGGGACGCGAGGGGGGTTAGCTAGAGATCTGGAGCGGCAGGCCTCCCCCACCTACAAAGCCGAGGCCCTTGCTGCTTGAGTCCTGGAGACCCAGAGGGTGGCCGGTGTCCGTGGAACCTGTGCTCCTCGGTCGCGTTTGGCTGGCTTGAGTTGTGGGGATGAACCACAGCAACCTGAGCCTGACTGCTTTGTGGAAGCAGCCACTTAAAGAAATGAGCTAAGGGGCAGGCCCCCTAAGCAAGTCTTGGCCGCCTCAGTTTCCCCTCTGCCACCCTGTGGCTGGCCCGCGCTTGCAGCGAGAGGAGCCCCTGCTGGCCTTCGGCTGCCCGCGCTGCAGCAGAAGGGCTTTAATAACGTCGCTGGAAAGTGACACGCGATTTATTATTAAAGTAATGCGGGCGCGGGGACGGGAAAGGTTTAATAAACGCGCCAAGATACCGAGGATTATTCACCGCAAATAAATGAGAGCGCGGGCGGCGTTTTAATAAATAATTTCCCGCCGCTCCCTGGGGGACAAAGGGGGAGGACGAGGCGGGGGCTGCTGGAACTCTACCCTGGCTCCCGCTTTCCTCCTGGGCGTTCGTGTCCCTGTGGGGATCTCCAGGAAAGCCTGCCCAGAGGAGCCCCTCAGCCAGAACGGGGAGAGCCCCCGGGTCTGAGGTGATTTGTTGCAGTCTGCTCCCTTCTGGCTCAGATCCAGTCCAGACCAGTCGATGAGGCAGACAGGATAGGAATCGCCTCTCCGAGCTGAACCCCGGATAGGAAGCAGCCCCTCCAGAGACCAGGCGTCCGGGCTGTCCCCCCACCCCGCCTGGCGGGCCCGGGCTGGGTAGCGCCTCTTCCCGGTGCCGAACAGGCTGTGTGTGCAGTGCACAAGTGTGTGCGAGTGACCCTGGCTCTGGCACCCTCCGTGGAGAATGCGTGTCTTCAGCCGCGCTGGCCGGACTGAGGTCGTCCCAGCTTAGCCCAGTCTGAGTCCAAACGGAGAGAGAGGGGCATCCCCGGCAACAGAAGCCTGTGGCCCAAGAGGACGACCTCACCAAAACTGCAGACGCTGGGAACCTAGGACACGGGTGGTGGTGGGGCGGGGAGTGCCCGGGTCCACCTGACTCCGCAAACGTCGTGCCTTAGCCAAAAAGCGACATCTCTGGCAATGCGTGGAAGTACAGGAAGTGTGGAAAGGGTACCATCTGGTGGACATTTCTGGTAGTGGCATCCTGGCACGGCTAGGAACTTTTTGAGTTACTTGATTGGAAAAATCTGTGTAAGAGAGGTTCGATTTCTGTGCTTTTAGTGTATGTGAACGTCTATAGGAGCGATAGACAGCTATATGTGATATCTAAAGTAATGTCTAATATATATGCATAGCGGTTATATGTATATATGTGTGTAGGTATGTCATAGCGTGTATTTGACTAAATACTGGTAAATGGTCATGTTGATAGCATATAGGTGTTTGTGCATACACAGGATTCATATATGAATGTATTATTGTATCTATGTATATACATTTATTTGTCAGTATGTACATTATACAAACATTTGTGATAGGGCTGTTGTAGGGCTGGGGCTGTATCATGGGAAGGAGGGTCCTGCCTCCTGGAGTTACAGCATAGCCTAAGCTGTGTGTGTGACTGTGTATATGCTTATAACATAGGGATGCTGCAGACACAATGCCTGACTCCTGAAACTCAAAGGAGGAGAGATTTATTTGGTCCATGGTTACAGTCTGTGGTCCCCTGGCTCAGAGCAGAGCAGCAGGCAGAATGGCTCAGTGGCAGAAAGTGGGCATGACATGGGTGGGGGTGGGGGGCAAAGAGAAGAATGAAACAGGGGCGGGAAATCTACTTTTCTTAGCCATTGCCCACATGGTCCTCTGTTCTGACCAGGCCACTTCCTGAAGGAAAGTCAGCCATAAGCCCCAAATCAGTCTCCAATTCCGTCCCAAAGATGTATAGGTTTTGGAATGCCATTCTTGGTCTCAACCCTAACAGTGGGGTGCCTCCAGGATCGTGTGCTCATGCACGTGGAAGACCCTGCATGTGCCGGAAGGGCAGCCGGAAACTGATGGGTCTGCACATGCCTTGTTTTTGCTTTGCTTTGCTTTGCTTTGCAGGGTGCTAGAGATTTGAACTACAGCTTAATGCTCACTGGGCAAGTGCCTTATCACTAAGCACATCTCCACCCCTTTTAGGTTGAGATAGGGTCTTGTTAAGTTGCCTGGGCTGGCCTCAAATTTGTAATCCTCCGCTTCAGACTCCTGAGTAGCTGGGATTGTAGGTGTGCACCATCACACTCAGCAGTGTCCTCGTTTTTCCTTCAGAAGCTTGGGTCCTGTGGCCTAGAACTCCATTCTTTTTTTTTTTTTTTTCTTATGAGGAACTGGGGATTGAACTCAGGTCCTTGAGCTTGCCAGAGAAGTGTTTATTCCATTGAGCCACCTCCCCAGCCCTTAGAACTCCATTCTTAGTGTTCAGTGAGCTGAGCCAGAAGGAGGCTGGAGATAAGCTGGTGACTGCCTGGATGTCTGCCTGTGTCCACAGCCCTCTCCACAACTATATTCTTTTTACATGAGCTGTGAAAGCTACAGAAGGTAAGGAATGTTGCTGCAGTCCAAGCCGCAACCCCTGCTCAGGGCAGAGCACCTTGGGGGGATGGTGGGCCTGGGGAAAGGAGACTGGCAAGAATTAGGCCTGGGAGGCTGCAGACACAGTAGGGTGTTTGAGGACCTCTGGGGAAGGACCAGCTGGTGGGGTTAGGAAAGCAGCTGGGCTGGGGAGCAGAGACAGTCTCGTGACAGGGACATGACAGTCTGGGGTGGAGCCTGGAAGCCAGCTCTGAGGAATGACCCCACTTCTCCTGTGCACCCCTTCCCTGTGCTGACCTCAGCTCCCCTAGTATTCTCTCTGCAGGGCTTGACCTGGCTCAGGTAGTGAGGTGGGGCAGGCATGCAGCATCAGTGTCCCACGAAGCCTGGTCCCTGTCTGCCCATTGCCTGCCAGCACCATGGCAGCTCCCTCCCAGGCTTCAGCCAAGGGCTGGCAGGCAGGTCCTGGAGGCCTGGGACATCTACCCCAGGTGACGTGGGAAGTGCTGCCTCTTGCCTGCCTTTGCCTGCAGGGTGTCCAGTGGCGCCAGCCTTTGGTGTGTGTGGCAACCCCTCACTGTGCCCTCCCTGCCTTCTCTCTCACCCTTGCTTACTCCTTCCCTGGAGGCCAGGGATAGGATAGGGCTGTTGTAGGGCTGGGGCTGTATCATGGGAAGGAGGGTCCTGCCTCCTGGAGTTACAGCATAGCCTAAGCTGTGTGTGTGACTGTGCATATGCTTATAACATAGGGATGGTGCAGACACAATGCCTGACTCCTGAAACTCAAAGGAGGAGAGATTTATTTGGTCCATGGTTACAGTCTGTGGTCCCCTGGCTCAGAGCAGAGCAGCAGGCAGAATGGCTCAGTGGCAGAAAGGCTTCTTTTATCAGAAGGCTTCTCTGGCCTTCTCTGTCCCCTCAAGGGCACTCTTCCTTTCTTTGGCCCTTCTCTTCCTAAGATGGAGATCTCATCTGGCTGGACAGTGTCCGCACTGGCCCGGAGGAGTCAAAGATGCAGACTGGATCCTGGCCTAGATTTGTTTTTGGCATTTTACCCCCATCCAAGCAACTGAAGTCTTTATCAGTCTTGGTGACACGTGTTATCCCACGGTCAAGTCTCATCCTGTTGTGGGAGAGGGGGATGGCAGAGCAGGATGGACTTGCCTGGAGCCACTGGGGTGGGGGTGGGGCCTCTGTCAGGAATGACAGGGCCTGAGGGAGATGGAGTCTTAGTCCAGGCTGGGCTCACACTGCTGCTCCTCCTGTCTCAGCCTCCTGAGTGCCAGGATGACAGGTGTGCACTAGGATACCTATTTTGGGGGCGGGTTTCTTCCCTCCCTTCTGAGTCCCCACTGCAAGACAGTGACAGCACTTCCTGCACACTGACTACAGATGCTGTAGGAACACTACAGATGTCTGGAACACAAAAGGCGTTGGGTAAACATGATTATTTCTGGGCACATGATCTGTGCGGAGGGCTGGAGTGTGCCCCCCAGCTCAGAGCTGGGCCTGGGGAAGAGCAGAGGGTGGGGGCTAGAAGGGCTCCATTTTCCCGGAGCTCGCTGGGCAGCCTTCACCCTCACCTCCAGCCCTCTGCAGGGAGCCCCTGTCGGAACTGGGCTGTAGGTCTGGCTTCGGGGGAGGGGC